AAAACTGAGCCCTCGAAACAAAAACACTTTCTAAAGAACCAATCCAACACACCCCTTGAACAAAACACATGTTCAGTAATTCTTCTCTCTCCAATTCCTTAGGCCACTTAACCAATTGGTCAAAAGTAATATAAAATAATAAAAAAAACAAAATCAAAAGAAAATTCAACGAAAGAAAAATCGAACCCTGAGAAAAAGAAAGAACCTCGGCATTAAAAGTTCATCCAAATTAAAACAACGTGGGGGAGAAAATGGGATGCACACAACACACGCAGAGTGACCAGTGAGAGAAACAATTCATTTTTAGTTAATTAAAAAAAAAACAAAATTTAGAAACATAAACAAAAGAAAAAAAGCATTCTTCATTCGTTGGGTTTGAGTTTGTTTTGTTTTTTAGCTGGCCCTCCTGTTTGACACGAGCATCATCAATGATCACACCGTTCGTTCATAAAAGCGATAAAAAAAAAGAAAAAACAGATTAAGAATATTATTATAGTAAAGTAATTAATAACGAAAGGAAAATAAATATGAAAAGTGGTGAAGGTGTTGTAGTTATAGGAGTCATCAGCGACTGTTGTTTTTGGTTTAATATTTTTGTTTATGAATATGAATATCAATTACCACCCTTATTATTATTGATTTATTATATAATTTGGTTTGGATTTTGTTGTTTTATTCTTCATCTTCAATGTTCTTTCTTTTCAATTTATTTTTTCATCAGCGGATAATAATTGTGTGCCTTTCCATTCCTTGACTATCACGGAATTTTTGGTTTCTCGAAGAGAAATTTGGGATGACAAAAATAAATAAAAACAAAGAAACACCAAAATCGATTCTATTCTATTGCCCTAATTATTTTTTCTTTTTCTGGTCTGCGCTGGTTTCTTTTTGTGGCTTCGTTCTGGATTCCTAGGGTTTGAAGGGGGAAAAGAGGTTCGATCGCGATCGATGGAGGCCGAGGCGGAGAACGACGCCGTCAAGAGAGAGGAGAACAGCAACGAGAACGACAACAACAATGAAAGTAACAGCAAAATTGGAAATTCCAGTGAGGGTCTCAGCAAGCCCAAGCGCCAGATGAAGACACCGTTTCAGCTTGAGACGCTCGAGAAAGCTTATGCTGGTTCGTTAACGCTTCTTTTCTTTTGTCTTCTTCAATTTTTAGGTTTTTTCTTCACTCACTTTTTTGTTTTTTGTTTTTTGTTTTTGGTTAGTGGAGAATTACCCGTCGGAGGCGACGAGGGCGGAGTTGTCGGAGAAGTTGGGCTTGTCGGATCGGCAGTTGCAGATGTGGTTCTGTCACCGGCGTTTGAAGGACAAGAAGGACTTGCCGTCGAAGAAGCCGCGTAAGGCGGCGGCGTTGCCGGATTCTCCGCTGGCGGAGGAGCCCAGGCTTGGTCTGGAAGTGGGTACTGAATACGGATCCGGGTCGGGTTCAGGATCCAGCCCGTTTAACCGCTCGGAGTTGAGGAATGTGGTGCCTCGGGGCTACTATGAGTCGCCGCAGACTATAATGGAGCTTAGAGCAATTGCTTGTGTGGAGGCTCAGTTGGGGGAGCCATTGAGGGAACATGGACCCATTCTTGGAGTGGAGTTTGATCCTTTGCCGCCGGATGCATTTGGGGCACCATTAGGTATGTTCCTTGATTCTTTGACTTGTTCAATGGTTGTGTACTTGAGTTGAATTGAGTGAACTCTATCAATGTATGATGCTTTGTTTTCTATTTTACCTTCTGTTTGTATGTTTATGATGGCACGTGCAATTCAGCTCTTTACTGAACTTGTTTTGGATGCCTTGTTTATTGTTTTTCGTTGTACAGCTCTGCTTAGGTATTAAGCTGATTACAGAGTTTCTATTTTTCATATGTATGTCGTTTTTATTTTGTAAACTAGTTTCTTCGGTTTTCTGTTTTAGAGTATCATTGTAAGGAGGGATGAAAGTCTTTGTTTTTAGATTTGCTTGTCATCGGCTG